GCAGAACAGTTCCAAAACTTAACCAAAGCCATCACTTACCACTGGCCCAGCCTCAAACCACCCAGCATCACTGCGTTACTCTGCAGAGCGTGACATGCTTTCCCACAACTTAGCTTTCCATTAGGTGCTTGGAATGTTACAGATGTGAGCAGCTACAGATATGACATGCTTTGAAGACAGCCAGAGCTGGGCTCAGCATCACAAGAAGATTTGTAACTGCTTCCAGGAAATGGGGAATTCCCCATCTGGACACATCAGCCACTACGGGGGGCTCTCAACCTTATAGACTCATCCCTTCATTGCTCCATATGCATTAACATTAAGCCATGAGCCATAAGTCCACCAGCAAGGTTGAGAACCAAAGAAATACCCATTTTTGCATGGCCAAGGGTTCTTACCCTGCAGTTGAGGCTCTGTGTTACGACCTATGCAAGAGAAAGATGAAAAGCAATAATCTGCTACACTCTGGTACTACAGGAAGGTAAATGCAGAGATGGAGTAGGGAAGTGATTGTGCCCCTGTACTCAGCACTGGTGAGGCCGCCCCTCAAATGCTGGGTTCAATTTTGGGCCCCTCACTACAAGAAAGACATTGTGTTTCTGGAGCATGTCCAGAGGAGAGCAATGAAGCTGGTGAGGGGTCTGGAAGCACATGTCTTACAAGGAGCAGCTGAGGGAACTGGGGTTGTTTAGTCTGGAGAAGAGGAGGCTGAGGGGAGACCTGATCGACCTCTACAACTGCCTGAAAGGAGGGTGTAGGGAGGTGGGGGTCAGCCTCTTCTCCCTGGTAACGGACAACAGGACAAGGGAAATGGTCTGAAGTTGCTCCAGGGCAGGTTTAGGTTGGACACTGGGAAAAATTCCTCCCCCAAAAGGGCTGTCAGGCACTGGAAGGGGCTGCCCAGGGAAGGGATGATCAAGTCCCCACCCCTGGGGGGATTTAAAAGCTGGGCAGATGAGATGCTTAGGGACAGGGTTTAGGGGTGGGATGGCAGGGTTAGGGGAATGGTTGGGCTTGATGAGCTTAAAGGGCTTTTCCAACCCAAATGATTCTGTGATTCTATGGAATTGCAAATAAAGTCTCCTGCCTCTGGACATTATCTCCAAGTTCATGCAATGTCCCATTAGCTAAGTTATCCGCACACCCACAGGGAAAAAAAAAATTTCCCTTGAAGCAGATGGCATTGGATGTTGCTTAACATGTGATATGGAGATGTAGCACTGGCCTTCCTGCCTGTATCCATCAATTTGTCCCAAAAACAAGGAGTTGCAACAAGGGTCAGTATACAGGGTTATACCTATATCCCCCTTTATAATACATAAGCTTGTATTATATGTACTACGGGTGTAAAATCATGAAGCTGAGCCACTAAAATCAGCTGGCCTCTTTGGAAAGAGATACTCTGAGCTGGAAAAAGGAAAACCTGAGCAGAACATTGAATTTTATTGAACCACAGTCATGACTCACAGCACAACCCATCTCGGAGCCTACGCTTACCTGACACTTCAGCTTTGCTCTGATACATTGAGATAGTCCTTCCAGGGACCATGCTTGTGCAGACCTATGTTTATCCACACATAAAACAAGAATAGCACTGACAGAGGCTATTAAATGGCATCTTCATAACAGGACCTCTTAAAACTCCTTACAAAAGCTCATTAAAGTTTTACATGAGCAAAGCTCTTCAAGCGGGACTCCATTATAATGAATGCCAGCGCATACTCAATTTAAAGGATGTGTCTCAAGACATCAGAGGCTACTAATTACATCACGTGTACATCACAGTTTACCTCCTGATGGACAAGAACAAGACATGCGTACAGGCAGCATCTGCACAGGCACAGCCCAGGTCTGGGTGCAAACCAGCAGCTGTTGGGCTGGTCACAGATTAAGTCAATGGGGTCATTAAAAAACACTTCCACCTCCCCCCCC